GGGTTTTTTAAAAAAAAACCCCCCCCCCCCCCCCCCCCCCCCCCAGAAAAAATAAGAGGCTAATATAGGAGAATAATTTAATATAACGTAACTTACGGACGGATTATCATAAACATGAATATTATGATGTAGATTAATTATCATGATATCGATTACAGTATGTTTGGGTATTTCAACTCCGTCTAACATCATCGGTTTCTCTAACTGACGACTGACTGCCGGCACAGGTGAAAAATATCGTAAACATTCTTTGATAAATATTGGTAAATATTGGAACTCACTCAGATGTTTCCTGAAAATAATAAAACATTTCAAAATTTTTAAATTTTGAATTATAAAATACATCAGATGGACTAAAGATAAATTAAGACAGTTTAAATTTAAGCTGTGATGTTCACACTCGAGGACCATTGTAACAAAACTATGTGAAATGGTCTTGGAGTGTGAACAGATATTAATCCATCCTTTCCATGAAGGCAACATCTTTTGAGCCAGTGGGAATAAATTTCAAGGTATTGCTCTCTTTTAAACTTGTCATGCAAGAAGACTTAAAGCTCCTTTCATGCTTGCCACACAAATTTCAATACACAGTCATTGTCAGGAGGACTTTGGAGATAAAATTTCAAAATACAAGACTTGAGTCCTCTGAGCAAAGTAAGTGAGCTCAGTGAACAAAATGGCTGATCTTACCATTTGACGTCTGTAGAATCACCCATAACTGATTTGACATCTTGATAGACTTTTTGTTGCAACTCTGGGTATTTAGCTAGTCCATATAAACACCAGCTGATAGCAGACGCTGTCGTATCATGACCTAGAAAAATAATTTTTAATATTGTTTTCATTATATTAATGATTTGCTGAAAAATGCTGAAACTCGTTGACACTTGAGAAACCTTTCATATTTGTGAAATTAATTTTCTATAACATAAAAAAAAATAAAAATGAAAATTCTTAAAAAAAACGAGCGATTTGATAAATGGATTGGTGCAACTCCCATGTGACATTTTATATCTAGCCCTAAATGTACTGATAACCCATTAGTATATCATGTTAGAGGAACAGGTAGGAATTTTAGGGTGTAGCATTGCTGTTAAGTAATGTTACGAAAGCACAGGCAGAGGCATGTAGGCTTAACCTCTAGTGAGAGAGTATTGTCTGTGCAGTAAGTTTAAATAATTTATAATTTAAATATAATGAAATGAAAATCCATAATTTTCAGAATATGAAATAAATCAGAAGAATAGAGCCTAATGGTTCCCACAGGAACAGGTAGGGTCGGATTTGTAGCAGTAGCGGAGCTTGGTTTACCTCCAAGGGGAGGCGAAATACCTAAGATTAACTGAATTTCTAACTTAGTTATGAGATTTTTGCACGAAAAACTTGCTTTTGGGGCTGTGAGGGGGTGGCGGCTGCCCACATACTGACCTTCAAATAAAAACGTGTCGACCTCGTCCCTGATCTCAAAATCAGAAAGAGGCTGATTATTCTCGTCGCGGGCTGTAAGTAAAATATCCAGAAAATCAAGGTGGCGTTTTTTCTTTAATTCTTCTTGACTTGATTCTTTCTCCTTTACAAAAAAAAAAAAAAATGAAAATGAATGAGGATGAAGCAGTCAGATTTTACCAAGATTCAATCAGTACTGTTGCCTCTGTAGCCACAAAGTCACAAATCCCCATTCCTCACGGCCACAGACACATTAAATGTCATTCAGTGTACATTGACGATCCTATCTAGGCTAAATATCTCCAAGCAACCCTTAAATAGATTGTAAAGAGGTTTTCTAAATATGTGT